TATAATGATCAAGTAGTTCTTGTATTTCTTTCTTCTTTTTCTTTTCTCGTTTATATTTAAGTACGTCCTTTTTACTTTCAGTGGCGGTCTTGAATGCTCGTATATTCGCATGAAAAGCCTGAATTTGCATATAACCCATATATATATCATTGGATGTATATGAATCAAATTCTTTGATGCGTAATTCTTTATATGGGTATGTTGTTAGGTGTCTATGGTTCGGCTCGTGTATGTCCATGATCGGTTCTCTAACAACACCACCATCGTCGTGTTGTTCTGTTTGTTCCACTGTCTCTGTGTATGTAACATGTGTATATACGTCAGATGTGTTTCTTGGTTAAAGTAATTACAAGGAAAATAGTTTAATTACGTTTAGGTTTGGTATTCTTTTTCACGGATTTGCTGAGGATAGAGAAAAAATTAAATTAATTTGGCCGATCTAACTTACAGACTATGTCACCACTTCAACTGCAGTATTAATTACCACTTGCACAATGTTTACGAAAATTTGCAGATATGTAGAGTAACATCTTTTAATTAATTGTGATTATATTAACGAACCGAATAACATCTTGATCAGAGTCGAGATCTTTATTCGTTACTAATTGAGTTACATCTAAAAAAATAAGAATAGCTATCACAGGTTTGTTTTTGTACTAATGCAGAGAATTTAAAGCTATAAATTCAATTTACAAATGACAATCAAAGTTCTCGTACCTTGAGCTTCAATATCGTTAATCTTTACTTTTGTATTATCAACGCTACTGGCAGATTCCAATGCTAATACGTTATCTACCACTTCTTCGTGTTTCCTTTCTTCTTCAGCAATTCTGTCAAAGGTTATTACACCATTTACAGGTGATCATCTATTTAATGCACTACATCAAGATGCAATTTATGCTATAGTACCTGTCAGCGATTTTAATTCGTACACGAGGAACAGCAGTAACGCGAACACTGTCGTCTTTATTAGAATTTTTTTCAGAAGGAGAATGGCAGACAACCTTAGCAGCTGATTTCGCTACGGTAGTTACAACGGCAACTTCCGTTGCCTGTGGATCGGCAGTACGACCAAGGGCATCAACAATTAGAACAGGAGAGTTGCCAACTTTAGGCGTTGGAGAATTTGCCTGATTGAAAGTCAATCAAGTGTTTATTAAGATGCAGCATCCAACTACGAGTTGATAATATTAAGCTAATATACGATAAATATGGCCATGCCACAATTAAATGAAGTACCATTAACGATGACAATGCAGCTCTTGTT